TATAGTTTAACAATTTGAAGCTTCTGCATTGCACTCTATAATTTGCTGATTTTACAATTTCAGCACACTTCAAGTTGTTTTATGTCAATCTTTAAGGCAGTTCAAGCACTTCTGTTGGTGAAGATGACTTAGGGCCTGTTTGGCATGGCTTTTGAAAAGCCAAAAAGAGCTTTTTGAGACTTGAAAGTTATTTTGGGCCTGTCTGCCTATTTTTATAAAAGTACTATTTTTTTATTAGAAGAGCTTTCAGAGAAAGTTAGTCTAACGTAAAATGGAGATCGTATCAACTTGTTCCGATCTCAGATAATAAACTCATGAGTTTAGTCTTACTTCTTAAGAAACAAAGCACTTCCAGAATAGGAAAGTCTTTTATTATCTAGTTTTCAAACAAAAATTTAGGTAGCTTTCTCCAAATGCTCTTCTACAGTAAGTAAAAGCAAAAGCAAAAGTCATGTCAAATGGCCCTTTATTGATTATTGCTTCCACTGTGAAGCGTAAATATTTTGGCTGAGAATAGGATTAAGCTTTAACTGTTTTCTGAATCTGATTTGAGATTGAAGGTACTAGATGATTTTTACCTGACCAAGAACCTGTCATCATACTAATGGTTTGTCTTGAATTGCTACTCCATTATGGTTTTGCCAATTTGCTTTGCAGCTCGTGGAAGCAAGAGCTATGTGGATGCAAGAGCTACAGAAGCAAACCAAGGATGAGTCGGATTGGATTGGAAGTAGTACTTTTTATTCAAAAGAAAGTGTGGATTCACCACGTGAGATCTTTTCTGCATCCTCATTTGAAGATGGTCATTATAAGAATATGTCAGGCACAACAGTTGATAAAATGACATGCCAAGCAACAAATTATTGTGAGATAGAAAAGCAACCTCTTGAAAGTAGTGACATCCAGTTCATTGACAAGTCCGTTATTGAAGAAGATCCTGCTAGCAAACCCGTGGAAAAGGAGATAGTTTTAGGTCCATCTATAGAAATGCAAGTGCAGGATTATGATGACGATGATGATTGGCTAAATGAAGACCCCGACTTAGTTGAGTGCTCTGGCACCACGGTTTTCGGAAGTGGGGAAGATGTATCATTCAGTGATCTTGAAGATGATATTGATTGTGCTATGCCTGTGAAAACTAAAATAGTCTCCAGTGATGGGAATAAACTAACTAAAACTTCATAAGTGTGGAGTGCAAAAGCAGATGTGTCTGATATTTTCCAGGTTGATCTGCCTCTTGGTCTCCTTTTGGCACTTCGAGACCCCAAAGATCTGTTTGATGCTTGCAGGGATGACTCATGAGCTGCCTTTGCAAGATTGGAAGTCTTAAAAGAGTTCCCACTGAGTGTACTCAAGGAGCCTGCGAGGACTGTCAATAATGAACGACACTTGGGAGGTTAGCTCTTGTAAAAATGTTGCAGGTGCAAACAACCCCCTATCTCAGGGTGCTGAGGTTTCCTAAAAGTTGAGGATGATAACATCAATTTTTTGATTCATTGTTGAAGGTCACGCATGCCACAGAGAAGGAAACCTTTGGTCTATTTCTTTTTCTTTTTCTGTTCCCCCTTATAATTTTTTATTGAAATGAGCCAGCCAATAATATGCCGCAAGATAAAGTTTTCAGCTCCTATTGTCTTCTTTTACCTGTTTCTCTTGTTTTGAGTCACTGGATATTCACAGAAGAAACGATTGTGTGGCTGTACATAGGACATGTAAAGTTTTTGGGATTGCTGAATTTGAAACTTACTAAAATCACCATTAGTCAGCTTTTATGGACTTGTATTTATTTTTGTAGATGAAAGATGACAATGCTGATAGACACTATCTGGTTTCCTTATCAAACGAAGTTACGAGGAAAAATACATATGGTTGTGTTTTAGATAATTTTTGCATCAAATTAACTACTTTCTATTATCTCTAAACCCTAATCCCAAATTTTCTAGTGTCTAATATATGAGAGATATTCTTCAGAAAACCATCTTTTTCTTTATTCAACTTGAAATGGAGCTTGAAATTTGTAGTGTATTCGAAGATGTATAATGCTATGGAAGAGTTTAATACAGTAAAACTATAATATTTCTATCTAATGGTATTGTTCTGTGTGTAATTATATAGCAATTAGATTTTGGTTGGAATGTCTCCAAGTGTTGTGTGGGGTACTGTGAGTCCATGTGGGAGCTTGGGTTGGTGGCTATTTTCTTGGGACTACAGTTTCAAGTTGGACCGGATCTTATGATAAGCTAGTGTATATAAGGAGGGAAAGCCTTAGGGTATATTTTAATTTTATATAGACAGGCTAAAATGCTATGGGGCCCATGTTATTCTTATTCCATAGTCACAATATATGCCTTTGACGCATATGGTAGGATCATAAAGTGCACAATCTGTAGTTAATATATTGTTCTCTGCTTCTGTGATATGGTTGAAGCAAAAGATT